ATATTCAATTTCCCCTCACATTCTTGGCACTTGCTCATTTAATTGTATATTCCTTTATTTATCTCTGGCCTATTTTACTTATATGCGATACAGAGACGATTAACCTTTTATATTTTTGACGTGTTAACTATTGCCAGTTTTATTCGTCTTTTTTATCACTTATTTTTATTGTTATCGTTTTAAATTATCCCACATTGTAATAGAAATCATTTTATGAGGAAGTAACCTATGTTGTAAGAATTCATTTTATGAGGAAATAACATGTGTTGTAAGAATTCATTTTATGAGGAAATAACCTCTGTTGTAAGAATTCATTTTATGAGGAAATAACCTATGTTGTAAGAATTCATTTTATGAGGAAATAACCTATGTTGTAAGAATTCATTTTATGAGGAAATAACCTATGTTGTAAGAATTCATTTTATGAGGAAATAACCTATGTTGTAAGAATTCATTTTATGATGAAATAACCTATGTTGTACGCAAATTTACTGTATAAGATTTTGAAGTCGAGGAACTTTTAATACATTTTCGCCTTAGTAAATTCATTTTTCTATTAACCAGAACAACATTTTTTTTTAACTTTTGGTCCGACCTATCACGATCAAAGACTAATGCACTGTTTGTATTGTTTTGTTTAACAGCAAACGGATTGAATGTATTGTTCCGTTGACTCTTCAAGGTTCAGACGTCTGGAAATTTGTTTCTTTTGTTTTATACTATGCCTTCATGTAAACGTGATGTCTCACCACCAGCTGATTAATTCTACGGGAGTAATATTCATCAAGATTGTACAACCAGTTCTTGTGATATTCAGGACTACTTTATAATTTCTGAACAGAGCCCGTATATCATAATAAAATTCGTATAGCAGAAATATACTGATTAAGCTTTTAACATTAATTAATTTCTTGCTTCATACTTTTTTTTTTTTAATTTCGGTTCTGTTGATAACAAAGTAGAGAAGAAAAGAATACTGAGCTGTTACGTGACATCTGTCCTTCTTTACGGCAGCGAATGTTGGACGATTTCCTCAAAGATGAAGATGAGACTCGAGTCGACGGAGACGGGCCGAGCGTGTGAGCAACGATGAGATTTTAGAGAGGTTGCAAACAAGAAGGCTTATGCTTAACATCAGAAAGAGGAAACTGAAGCTTCTGGGACACGTAATGAGGAAGGAGGGCCTGGAGAATCTGATACTCATAGGTCAAATAGATGGAAAGAGAGACAAAGGAAAACAACGCATGACATACCTGACGAGCTTGAGCAGGTGATCTGGGGGAGAAATCAGAGGGAAGGAACTTGCTGGGGGAGCTGCAAGGGATAGAGGAAGGTGGACACCTACGTCCTGAATGGATATGGCACATAAAAAGAGAGTTTTTTTTTATATATATATTAACCTCCCGAACATATCCGAATTCCAAAAAATAGTAAAATAAAAATAAAGAATACATGGTTATGCTTGTGAAACAAATCAGTTGTAGTTTAAAAAAATATGTACATGACTTCAAAAGAGTCAAAAACGATTAAAAATAATCTTTAGTTGAGTGTGGATAATTGGTACACAGAAAAAGTCTGTACTTTAGAAAAAGACTTTTAAATACTTGGTCTACCGTCAAAATCAGTGGCTGAGAAATACTTTTATCGTTAGCGAAGATTTACTGATCGTTTTTGTTGTTGTTGGAGATGATTCATCTGAAGTCGCCGACTTGACCGTCCATGTTGTTATTGATGATTCGTTTGAAATCAAAGACACGTGCTTCTTTCAGCGCGCGCTAGTTGGAGGACAACCGTATATCTACTCTCTGAAAGGAAAAAAATCTGTAGGGTTTTTCATAAGAAATTTTTTTCCCGAATGTAGACTCGAGAAAAATAGGGTTTTACTTTTCTCTGATTGGTCAAATATTTCACAGGGTGATGTTAATTTCTAACCAATAGACACTTCGATTTAAACCTTGTGTATTGTACTGTGGAATCTTTTTGTTATGCTTGTAATATTGTCTGTTATTGGGTAGAAAAGTTTGGGTGTGTTTTAATATGGCACGTATGTGGGTATGTAATTGTGTTGGAAATAGCGTTTCTTTCCTATAGTCTTTTGTTTAATGACACATCAGTTTTCAGTTGCCTATTAAGTCTTCAAAAAAGAGGGTCAAGAACCTTTGCACACACGAAATAAATACTTAATCTTTTACCAATGAAGTCACTTTTAAATATGTCAGGGAACATGCACAACAAATGATATATGGGTCATGTAGCATGAAGTGACATATACAAAAGTAAAACAAATAAAATACTTATGAAAAAGTTTCTACAAAGCTTCCCAGCAACAACATTTACACAATATCAGAAACACACACACACACATATATATATTGTAACCCTGTGTTATATATATATATCCAAGTATAGGATTGGTGTATACGGAGTAAATTCCAATAACCAACAAATACTATTCTTAAAACAGTGCTCAATACAGAGTAGAGCAAATATAATTATTTATTCGAAAATTATAACATAAATATGTTATAAAATCACTACAAAAATAGCCATTTTGTTTCAACACTTCTGTGTCTTATCAAGTGATGGTGTTGAATGACATCGAACACCATCACTTGATAAGACACCAGTAGTGTTTAAAACAAATGGCTATTTTTGTAGTGATTTTATATCATATTTATGTTATAATTTTCGAATAAATAATTATATATATATATATATATATATATATATATATATATATATATATATATCGGGATGTTTATAAGTTTAAGTAGGGCATAGACATTTTATAATAGCCGGTTACTCTCATTTTCCGAAAACATGCGTCTGTTTTAAAGTATGTTTGACGATTAAAAACAACCATAAGAAGCCAACTATTAGCTGGGAGATAATCGCTAAAAGCTAAGCCAGACAATGGAGAGGGAGACAGGCGTAACTTGTGTTTGCTGGAGAAGCTTATCATATTAAAACACTTAAATAACCATAACTTGCTGAACACGAGATCCGAATTGATGTTTACATGTATTCATAAATCCAAGCACCTGCTCAAACACAATGACCTCGATTAAAAGACATTACTAAATAGATTTTACGAATATTAATATAATATGCAACAACTTTTAATATTCTTAGAATTCATCATTAATAACATTTCTTATATATTTATATACACATACAATCCAGTATTACAGTTCTCTATTAATTTATAACGTGTGTATATATAATTTCACCAGGCTTTTTCCAAACACTTTAGATATATAATCCCGACTTATTATTTGTTTTATATTCGCACCCTTATATTATATTTCCACACTGTGTTTTAGTTTACGTTAATTGGTATAACATGGGTATTTTATTTTTGTTGGGTTTTTCGTCCACCTGATGTCCAATGCAACTCGTAACATCCTTGTGTATGTTCCGACAAGTGATGCTTCTTTGTGTTTCATCAATGTCCATGTTGTTGAGCCGTAGAGCAAGACAGATACTACCGTGACCTTAAAGAAGTCCCTCTTAAGATTGGGGGACTTCCAGATGGTGCTCAGGCCATCAAGGAAGAAACACCCAACAAAGAAACGCCGGTTTGGACACCTTCCTCCTATCTCAATTTCACTAAGAGAGAAAAAGCTTCGGTTAGCTGGTCACACCTGGAGAAGTAAGTCGGAACGTGTGAGTGACGCCCTCCTATGGAACCCATTGCGCCGCAAAAGATCAGTTAGAAGACCTCATCACACCTACATTGACCAACTTGTAGATGACTTTGGATGGCAATCTGGAGGACCTTCCGACAATGATGTCTGACAGAGATGGTTGGAAGAAACGAATCGGGAGAATCGGAGAAGAAAGAATAATTGACCTGATATTATATAGGGTATTTTACGTAAATAAAATAGTTATCCCCCTTGACATACTGTTTACTTCTTTCATTTTCCAGTCTTGATAGAGTTCAAAACCGTCTCCCGCATCCTTGTGGGTGATGAATTTCTACAGACGAAAAGTTGCAAGTCTCTCTCTGCTCTATCGCTATTTCCATGGAAAATGTTCAGACGAACTACATTCCTTAGTTCCACCAGTTCTAATCTTCATGTCGAAGAGCCGCCATGCCACGGACACTGTAGCAAACCATCCACATTCCTTTCGTACTCTTCTGGTGAGATGTAAGTTCCACTCGAGCAGCTTTTTTCCACGAACCGCTACTTTGTGGAGCTGATTCGCAACAGGCGATTCCCCGATCACTATAATATTATCCTGTTCAAATCTAGGGTTTCTTCCTCACATATATCGATATATTATGTCTCTTACTAAGTAATCTTCTACTTCGAGCGGATCTTGGGCATCGTACAAGCTGAACATCATTACACACACACACACACACACACACACACACACACACACAACGTAGTTCTTTTTATCAAAGTCATACTCTAAGGATATATCATTATTCTAAAAGAGACGAGGAATGCGACTGTGACTTTAACCTCTTAGTAACCTTTAAAACAATTTTTTTATCTCTGAATATTATTTAGGGAGAAAACGTAGTTTATCTTAAAAATCACGAATAACATGCAAAAAACAGCGAAATATTAACATCGAGCATGTCTTTGTCGATTTGTGACAGAAACAAGGAAGCGGATATTCCAACTGTATTCATCCAGTTTGGCAATGTCGCACTGATTTTAAAATATCTGGGGACCGGATTTTTTGACATCCGAAAGTTGAATGCTACTTGATATTTGACAGGGCGTGAGGGTAAGAAAGAAAGAAAGAAAGAAAGAAAGAAAGAAAGAAAGAAAGAAAGAAAGAAAGAAAGAAAGAAGTGTTATATGCGATTATATGAAAATGAAGGAAAATAGTTTTATGCAATGTTATGAAGAAAGAAAGAAGAGTTTCATACAATGCTATGAGGAAAGGAAGGAAGAAATAAAGAAAAAGGGAAAGAAAAAGAAAGAAATGAAAACGAGTTTCATGATATGATATGAAAAAGAAAAAGAAAGAAAGCAGTGTTATATGCGATTATATGAAAATGAAGGAAAATTGTTTGATGTAATGATATAAAGAAAAAAGAAAGAAAGAAAGCAGTGAAAAGAAAGAAAGATAGAAAAATGAAAAAAGAAGAGTTTGATGCAAAGAAAGAAAGAAAGAAAGAAAGAAAGAAAGAAAGAAAGAAAGAAAGAAGTGTTATATGCGATTATATGAAAATGGAGAAAAGACGTTTGATGCAATGATATGAAGAAAGAAAGAAAGAAAAGTTTGATGCAAAGAAAGAAAGAAAGAAAGAAAGAAAGAAAGAAAGAAAGAAAGAAGAGTTTGATGCAAAGAAAGAATGAAAGAAGAGTTTGATGCAAAGAAAGAAAGAAAGAAAGAAAGAAAGAAAGAAAGAAAGAAAGAATGAAAGAAGAGTTTGATGCAAAGAAAGAAAGAAAGAAAGAAAGAAAGAAAGAAAGAAAGAAAGAAAGAATGAAAGAAGAGTTTGATGCAAAGAAAGAAAGAAAGAAAGAAAGAATGAAAGAGGAGTTTGATGCAAAGAAAGAAAGAAGTGTTCGTTGCGATGATATGAAAAAAGAAAGAAAGAACTTCACTACAATATAAAGAAAAATAGAAAAAGGAAACAAATAGACATATCGCTGAAGCATCTTACAATATGTCTTCCGAATTAATGATCTACAGGAGCGGGTTGATGCTGGACGATTCTTATCCAAAGTTGGTTCAAGAAGTAACAAAGAATTGGCCTTTTCTTTTTTCGTTAGCTTTCGTTGGCTTTTCTCTTTTTTATCTGTTGTTGTTGGGTTTTTTGTTGTTGTTGTTGTTTTTGTTGTTTTGTTTTTTTGTTTTGGTTTGTTTTTTGTTTTGTTTTGGTTTTTTGTTGTTTTTTTTTTTTTACTTTTCATCTTGTGTTTTATTCAGGGGTTGTTTTAAACATTTTTTTGTTTTGTTCTTTTTCATATAAATGCTTTGTAATATGTTGTTTTCTTTTATTTCTCTCTCTTTATGTGTTTCTCTCTCTCTCTCCTCTCTCTCTCTCTCTCTCTCTCTCTCTCTCTCTCTCTTACACACACACACATACACACACTCTCTTACACACATACGCACAGAGATAGCTTCTCCGTAATTGCGCTCATGTCAAGTATGGAAGCCCACTCGTATCACAAACATCTAGCCTGTCTTTCTGCTAAATCCTTTGCCATATCTAATGAATACAACATAGTTCTTGATGCTCTGTAAAAAAAAACCAACATATTGAAACACAAGAATGGAAAAATCAATTATTTTTATTTCACTTTCTATTTTTAAATATCAGTTTGTCTATTTGCTTCTTTCTCTTCCTTCAATTATGTTCCTGCTTATTTCATTAATTTCCAGCATGTCTTTTTCTTTTCTTAGAACTACAGCTTTATTCTCTACTCTATACCAAATTGTTTCACGGCTTAATTACTAACCCTTTATTGCTTAGCGCCCACCTCCTCTATATTGAGTGAATACAATATATTTAAATACTTCACTTCTTTTTACTTTTTCATTTTTCACTTTGACCCACCTCTCTCTCTCTCTCTCTCTCTCTCTCTCTCTCTCTCTCTCTCTCTCTCATTCTTTGACTTATCATTTGTTTTGCACTAACTATCCTAATAATCAAGACTGATCAATGTGGGATTGTATTTTAGTTGTCTGTATCTATTTAAGAGACAGAAAATATTGAAGTATATTGGAGCCAAGAGATTCTGAGTATTTTACTTTTCGCTTTGTCAGCCAATGACTCAAATGTCAACCAATAACTCAAATGTCAATAATAATGACTCAAATATTAACTAACGACTCAAATGTAAATAATAATGACTCAGATGTCAACCAATAACTCAAATATCAACTAATGGCTCAAATATCAATAATAATGACTCAAATATCAACCAATAACTCAAATGTCAATAATGACTCAGATGTCAATTAATTACTCAAATGTCAATAATAACAACTTACATGTCAACTAATTACTCAGATGTCAATAATAATGACTCAAATGTCAATCAATGACTCAACTACCAATCAATGACTCAAATGTCAATAATAATGACAAATGTCAACCAATAACGCAAATGTCAATAATAATGACTCAAATACCAACTAATGACTCAAATGTCAATAATAATGACTCAAATGACGACCAATAACTCAAATGCCAATAATAATGATTCAAATGTCAATCAATGAATCAAATGTTAATAATAATGACTCAAATTTCAACCAATGACTCAAATGTCAATAATAATGACCCAAATGTCAACTAATGACTCAAATGTCAACTAATGACTCAAATGTCCATAATAATGATGCAAATGACAACCAGTGTCTCAAATGTCACAAGAGCATCTAGAGTAATGTAAAATCAATCAAGAGAACAGTTCTTCTTGTGATGATTTTCTAAGCGTAGCTTTGATGTGACACAAGACCGAAAATATGGAGTACTCAGTGAGGATCGGACTCGCTGTCTAGTCGTAATCGATCTAGCGAGATAAACCTATTAATTATTACCTCATGTCAAATTGCCCAAACATTTCTCTTCTTATGATTCAGATGATCAAATGAGTTATGAGCATCAAGTCTATGACCATCACCATCAACGTCCTATGATCAACATGTCTTTGATCACTAATAAAGATTAGCAAGACTTATGATCAACATGGCGGGTTAATATGTCTTCTAATCAACATGTATTTGATCAAGAAGGAAAACCAACAAATTTCAAGATAATTAAGTCCTTGATCAACAGTGAAAATCAACACTGAATATGAATTAGTCTTATAATCAACAAGACTTTGATCAACAAGGAAGACCAACACGGGAGCTCAACAGGGTAGATCAATATCTCTTATAATCAACATGATTTTCGTTAAGAAGGAAGATCAACAGGGAATATCAGTAAGGCTTATGATCAACATAACTTTGATAAACAAGGAAGATCCATACGGAAGATCAACATGGAAGATCAATAAGTCTTATAATCGTCATGACATTGATCAACACGGAAGATCAATACTGAAGATCAGCAAGTCTTAAACAATCAAAGCCAACCGCCCAGACATTGTTATTAAAAACCACAAACAAAAAAATATGCCTCCTTATTGATATGGCAGTCCCTGCAGACTGCAATGTATCTTTAAAGATATTCAAAAAGCTATCAAAATACAAGGACCATGAAATCTCAAAAACGTGGCACATGAGAACATCAACTATCCCTGTTGTAGTTGGAGCCCTATGTATTGGTTGGAAAAGATTCCAGTAGACTAATTGAAAGAATTCCTGGAAGCCCATGCCTCAAAGAAATGCAAAAAATCGTTCTCACAAGTACAGCCCACACTTTACAAAGGGCTTTATCTATGTAAAATATGATTTTTTTTTTTTTGTCAGTGGAAAATGTCATGATGCCATTTCTAACCTTAGGTCTCTGGGCGGGACCCGGAAAGAAATGTGTACACACCAGAAATCAAAGGAAATAAAAACAATAATAATAATAATAATAATATCGGATTAAAAAAATTATTAATTTATTTCTGCTGATATTTTCGTGTACGAAAAGTAAACAAAGTAATTTACGCCATTAATGAATTTTTAATCCAACATCATTATTATTATTATTATTATTATTATTATTATTATAAGTGTTTGAATCAGACGTGTAGGCTCTCAGCGATCTCGGTTATACGGTTTACCTAAGGTTCATAAAAATGATGTGCCCTTAAGTGCTATTCTTTCTATGACATGCTCAGCACAACATGTGTTAGCCAAATGGTTGGCAGAATTGCTTAAATCGGTTTCTGACTATTTCTCAACTTTCTGTATTTCTGACTTTTTCACATTCTCTGAATTTATTAGAAATTGTTCTATAAATTCTAATGATAAAATATTATTTCAAGGCATTTTTTTATGTTTATACGTTCTTTTTATACATACAAATATTTAAATAAATGCTCTGTTTTATAATAAACAGTATTAACGACATTTACTGGTCTGACTGTTATTATCAACAGAGCATTTACTTAAATATTTCTATTTATAAAAAGAACGTATAAACATAAAAAAATATCTTAAAAAATAATTGTCGGATTTTGTCCATTTCATAATGTGTGACGTCATTTGTTTACATTTGGATACGCATCGAGCAGATATGAATGTACGAGAGAAAATCATGGAGAATTGTAAGTTTAAAAACAGTAAAATCGACCTTGATAACCGAAACGCTCTTCTGTGGCTCAATAGGTAAAGCACGTCAGGCTACATAAAGGTTCCGTATAGGATACAGGTTCGATTCCTGTCGGAGGACGCATATTTTCTATGAACAGTTCTCGGATATTCAGGCCGTTAAATGTCGTTAATATTGTTTATTATAAACAAAGCATTTACTTAGGTATTTGTATCGATAAAAAGAACGTATAAACATAAAAAATGTCTTAAAATAATTGTCGGACTTTGTCCATTTCATAATGTGATAAAATATTAGTTTCTTTTGATATGGTGAATCTGTATATAAATGCCTCCACCACCCCCTTCAAGAAACTGTACAGATTTGTGCAGCTGTTCTTTATAGAAATTGCTTAGATCCCGTTTTCTGAACACTTATTCTTGTAATTTATGTATTTAACAACAGAAGGGGTAGAATTTGTTTCGATGACATTATATATACCCAGATTGATGGGGTCTCTATGGGTAGCCCTTTGGGACCTTCATTAGGCAACATTTTTGTTGGATATTATGAGAGCTTGTTGTTTAAGAAATGTCAAAAGCCATATATATATTTATGTTGATGAAACTTTTTCCATGTTTGATAACATCGACAAGGCAACTCTTTTTCGTCAACAGTTAAATTCTTTACATCCATCCTTGGTATTCACAATGGAGGCAGAGAAGAATAATTCTCAACCTTTTTCAAGATGTTTCGTTTGAACGTAAAAACGAAAACTTTATTAGTGTTTATCGTAAACCAACATTTACTGGTTTATGCAACTGGAACTCTTTTGTCCCTCGTTCTAGAAAAGTCAACCTAATTGTTACATTGGCTCATCGTGCCTTAATGGTTTGTTCCCCTTGCACTCTTCAGCATGAGTTACATAGGATTTGTAACGACAGCTATGTTTTTCCACGCCCACATTTTATTCGTCTGCGATTGGTTAATAAATCAATACTGCCTTTCAATAGGACAATTTAGCCATCGCAGTCGTTGCTTTGAATTTTTCAGTTTTGGACTTGCTTACTTGTTACGTTAGTACAAATTTAGTGACTGGTCAATTTATAACCAATCACATATTTTAGTGCAAAATCAACTTTTCCCGCGGTTTCGCTGGGAGCCTATCTGTAGCTTTAAAAGAGGCGACTTTTTTACAAGCCGCCAGTAGAGTCCAACAAATTTCACCTGTCAACACAAACCTATGACTTTACTCACAACATTTCAAACGCACACATACACAGAATTTTGTAATACATATACATATCTCTCTGTGACTCAGCCAAGTTCAATCAACCAGAACTCTGTTGATTTCTCTAACACAACACACTTTCTGATTAATTGTGTTCTTGTGATCTATTCTAACAGCAGACTTGTTCTAACATTGATTCCTGAACATTTTTCTTTCAGGAGAACTTTCTT